ATTATTGAATACCCATAATATGTGCTTCAAGTATAAATCAGTTGGTGTAATCATGTTAAAACGTCCATTTGGATGATAAAGGTACTGTAATTTTCCTTTTTTAACTTGTGAAATTGTGTGAGTATTTCCAACCTTCCTGTTTGGACTGTATGCTGTCATGGTGTGTGATGATTAGGTGGTAATCATCGTCATGCAATATGTAGATAAAATATATAACATCTTTTTTATGATCTGTGTGAATGCTGCCTAAGTTTCAAAAAAAAAAAAAAAAAATAACAAATGCTTGCCTATGGATCTAACAATATTATTTAACTATGTTGTGTACCTATTATTCTTACCCCTTGTTAGGATCCATTCAGAAATTCCAGCTTGCTACAACCTCCCCCTGCCAACGTTTGGCCAAAAGTTCTGTCATCCAACTTAATGCTGTTAGTCTATATTCATTCTTCGCTTCCATTAATTTGTTACCTGTAATATTGTATAGCTGATATATATAGATATATTCCTTTGAGATTTATTAGGTTGTGCTGGATGCATTTGAAGCTCAGCCTTTGACTGATGATGGTGGAATTGTGAATAATCTTCAGCATGAGGAAGCTTCTTTTAACATAAAGTATTTGACAAGCAGTAAACTAATGGGGTTAGAGGTGAACTTAGTTTCATACAGCAAACGTTTTGTAATCTATCTTTAAAAGAACTTATGGGTCACTATTTTTTTTTCCTGCAGTTGAAAGATCCCAGTTTCCGGCGTCATATTCTTGTCCAATGCCTTATATTGTTTGACTATCTTAAGGTGTGCTTGTACTAGTTAATTTATGCATTTTCTCTTAATTCTCTTACGTTCCCGTGCTCTTGACTTTGGCCAATTATCATATTTATAGGAATCTACAAATTTCTAGCCTTGTCTTGACCACTAATAAATACATCTTTGTTTTTAGTCTAAACTACTGTAATTTAGTTTACTATTCATTCGTTGAATTTGATTATTAAAATAATTTGATCTTTGATTACTGTTTTCAAATGTTGTTATAAACTAATTAATTTATTCTATAAATCCTGAAGTATGGTATCTTTAACTGTTGGACCTGAAAACATCGAAAAACGGCAATTATACCAGACTATCATTGTTAGGACTTCAATATTTTTTTAAGGTCTATGCCAACATTATACTTATATATATATTAAGTTCCCGTCATAGCTTACATTATTTTGCCAAAATGTGCATGCCTCTACGTAAAATTATAGTGATAGGCTCCCTTCCAAGTCCCTCAGTGCCATTTTTTGCTGTGGTTTGTTTGTGCAATTTTTTTGTTCCTCTCTAAATTTTAAATGCCTTTTTCTGCTATGAATACCTGTGCCACCTATTGCTGACTTTAACAAAACGCATCTCAGGATAACGAGTTACAAGAAACGCACTGTTAAAGCACTTTTCACTAGTAGCTAGACATTAATATGCGAAATGCTATCCGGTTTAATACAAAAAAAAACATTATGTGTCAATTAAAAATATAGTTGCAATGTTTAATGCTAGTCATGATCGTATTTTCTATGCTGCCATCAGCCTGAATGGGAACCATAAGTGTATAATAGTTGTAACAAACTGAAGCTAAAGTGTCTTATGTCGGGAGTGTTTGATGCCGATAAAGTGAGGTTGACCGTTAGACACATGAAACCCGTGAACACGGAACAATGAATGTGCACTAATTGTCTACAATATGAAAGTGGACATGTTAGAGCCCGTACTATGGGTACATTATACTTAGGAATAAACTTCCAATGTTATCAATAAATACCATTAATTCGCATCCTTAGCAAACCCTTGGTCTGGCTGTTGCATTTATGATTGGATTGAGACACATTTATATAAGTGGATATGGAATAGCCAATTTTTGAAGATAATTGACAATGGTTCGTGTGTTGGGAATTTACTTATTTAAGATATTTGTGCATGTACATTAATGCTCCTTAGATACCTTTACATACCTATGCTTACCTATTGTCTTGGTTTGGCCAAGTAATGGTGGATTGAGAAACATTTTATATCAAGTGGATTATATGTTAGTAGTTTTTGTAAGATAAAGCAAGTGGATATGGCGGTGAAAGTTATCCCGATAATGATTTCTACATTTACCAATATTCAGGGTAGATAAGATCATTATAAAACAACAACAACTAACATTCAAGTCTTTTATCCTACCCTACTCTGGTTGGCTATATTAAAATCATTTTTCCCTGTATTGTGTCTATTATTAATAAATTCAAAACTAATTTAAACAAAGGTCAATTTCTAATACTTCTAAGAATGTGTTTCAGGCCTACGTCTACCTTTCTTAACATAGGCCGTATCAAAAAACATCTACTCTCTTACCCGGGTCATTGGAAGACCATCGCTTTATGTGACCAAACCATTTAAGGAAACTCTCTCTAATCTTATCTACCATTGGAGCAAAGATGCAGTAATAATACACACAGATAAACTTAATTTGAATGAATGAGAAAGAAAAGGTGGTAGAC